TTCCACTGGCTTTCAACGGCCATTCCGTCACGCCATCCTGAGTGGAGGAAGGAGCGGGAATCCAGGACGACGACGGCGACGGTCGGGCGCAGGGGGAAGCCCTTGTGTCTGCGCCGGCTGTGGTACCCCATCGTCGGCCGAATTAGTAAGCCCTTCTCTCTGGGCCGCCGTTTGTAAACGATCGGCGGCCGAATCTGGGGCAGGAGTTTGTTTTTGGCGCGCGTCGGCACAGAGGTTCAGTTCACGGCCGTCTAGGAGAATCGAGGAAGAAAAATGAGGCACGTGTGCGGTATGAACGGGCCACTGTCGTGTTTTTCGAATTGCACCCAGAAAAGCGAGCAAGTCGACGAGGCACACACGCCGGGCCAGTTCCTTCTCCTTGGATCGCTACCGCTGGGAATTGGGGAGAAGGTGCGCGGCTTCAAGAAATCCCCGACTTACAATGGTGCCGCCTAGCTGGTGCTACTGGGCGCCGAAGGCGCTGGCGACGACGGCGAGACTGCTCATGTCCGGGCGAGGAGCTTGCTCATGTCCGCGCACATAGAGCAGGAGCTCACGCGGCAGCGATCGTGGTCGCACGTCGGACGCCCGTCGGGGTTCACCCTGACGCAGCGTCCTACCTGACCTCCGCGCTGTCGCAGGGTAAGTAGCTGCGGGAGGGGGTCACCGTCGTTTGCGCCAGGGGCGCGGCTGCTGGCTGCAGTGGCATGTCTTACGAGCAGCAGCGGGTGCACGTCTAGTTCTCCCGCGCCACGCACGTGCGGGACATGCTGATCTCCCGGCCGCCCTCGCGCGCGGTTCCGACGCGCGGGCCGCGGCCGTTTTCGCGGGAGGCGCCCAGGAAATTCGACAAGACAGCGGTGAAGTCCAAGGCTGAGGCGGAGCAGCTCGCAGCAGAGGTTGACTTCGCGCCGCCTCCCACCTGAACGCGGCGGCGCGCCGTTGGAAGCCCGCGGGGTTGCCCCCGCGGCTCGGCGTCGCGCGCCAGCGTCCCGCTGGGTTGCCCCGACGGCTTTGCCAGCGGGGTTGCCCAAACGGTTTTGCCCCGACGGCTTTGCCAGCGGGGTTGCCGACGGCTTTGCCGGCCGAGAACTCGCCCGTGCTGGCCAAATCGGAGACGGTGCCAATGAACGTCGATTTGTACGCATCGGCATTGGAAAAGTTCATATGCGCGCCCCTGTGTTGGAAATGCTGGAGGCGCCGGGAAAGGGGGGAAATGCAGGAGGGACAGGGCCTGTCGGGCCGGACGAAAAGGGGGGATTGGGAAATGGAGGGTTACGAAATCTGCTGCGTGCAGCTGGTTTCGGCCCCACCGAGGGGCCCATTCCTCGATGCATGGGCGCCTCCTGGCGCAGGGGGGCGCCTGGAGAATCAGCTACGCGAGCTGATTCTCACCCCCCCGTTTGCTATCCCCCCTTTTGCCCGGCCCGAGCCTGCAACGAAGAGGGGCGAGGGGGCGAACGTGGGGACATGAAGGGAGGGGGAGGGGGACAGGGAACTGTAGGAACGAGGCCAAGGGGAGGGAAAAGGAGGAGGGGGAGGACGAGGAGGGGGCGGAGGAGGAGGAGGAGGAGGAGGAGGAGGAGGAGGAGGAGGAGGAGGAGGAGAGGGAGGAGGACGATAAACAGGATGACAACTAGTACGAAAACGAAAAGAAATTGTTGTACGAGGAAGAAGAAGAATGACCATTCATAATAAGGGTAAGAGGAGGAAGAGGAGGACAATAATAAGAATACGATTCATAATCAAAGTATCACTGAGAAGAAGAATACGAATACGGATGCGAGGAGGAACAGGAAGGGGGAAGGAGCAAGGAGGAAGAGAAAAACAAGAAGAAAGAAGGAGGAACGAGGAAGGAACAAGGAGGACGGAGGAAGGAGGAGAGGGACGACGAGGAAGGAGGAAGGAGGAAGGATGATCGAGGAGGGTGGAAGGAGGAAGGAGGACGGAGGGGGGGGGGAGAAACGGATGAAAAGCAGGAGATGAGGAGCAGCATGAGGCGGAGGAGGAGGAGGAGGAGTCGAGGAGGAGGAGGAGTCCAGGAGGAGGAGGAGGAGGGGTAGGAGGAGGATGACGAGATCGAGGAGCAGGAGAAAGAGGGGTAGGCAAAGTACAAAAGGAGTGGGGCCCCCGCCAAGGCGTTGAGGAAAAAACGAGGGGCAATCCAAACAGATTCTCGCGCGGGGTCCCACCGTCGGAGTGATCTTGTATTTACGTATGCTTGTGTTTCTTCTAGCTCAGCTGCCCCTCCCGCCCGCCACCCCGTCCGCTCCGGCCTCTGCCGGCGTCGGCTTGACCCCACTGCTCGTTTTCGGTCAGCGTTTCGTCGGGTCGTCGTGCTTCTTGTTAGCCGTTGCGAGTTCGTCCCCCCGCCATCAGAGCAAACGGGGGCCCTGAGGGACACGGGCCCTCGGTGTTCTTCGCAATCTTCGGCCTTTGGGCGTCGTTCCTGGGCCCTGGGAGCCGTCAGAAGACACATCGGGATGAAGAGTTTGTCCTGGCAAGGGGCCGTCAAGGAACATCTGGATGAAGGGGTTGGTGATGTGGGAAACACCCCCGGGGTCCAGGACAACGGGCCCTTCATTCCGCAGCCGTTTTGGCTCCCGCGCTTCGTCTGTGTCTGAGGCAGCTCCCTCACACGAGTGGTTCCGCCATCTCGAGGCAATGGCAGCAGGCGTGCGCACGGTCCTGCTCATACTCCTCGCCGAAGTTTCTGTTGGAGCTGGTGGGCCGGCTGCGCAGGCCGGAAGCCTGCGGGGCACCGCTGGCACCGCGCTGCAACAGGGCACGTGTGCTTTTGGCAGTCCCACGATGCGTCTGCAGGCGCTCCAGCAAAGCTTCGAGCAGGAGGGCATCATGATCAGCGTGTTCCCTTCGGACTCGGTCCCGGTACCCCCCGGCCCGAGCGAAACCTCAGCCACGATCATCAGGAAGGATTTCCCGTTCGCCATCTACATGGGAAACATAGGAAAGTTGTCGTTCCCTTACGACTCCTTCCAGCACGGCATCGTCTTCCAGCCATTCAGCTGCCCGAGCACACCAAAAGTGTTCTGTGCCTACACAAACGACGCCTTCACCAGCGACAGGCCGACGGGGTGCAGCCCCTACCCAACCTATCCACTCACGAGCGGCGCATGCAGTTTCGGCCTCTATCCACCTTCGGCGCATGCAGGTGCCTATGCAGCCTTTTATCTGGAGCCGCCAGCGCAGGACTCCATTCATCTGTACGGCAAAGGCCTCTGCCACTTCAGCAACCTGGACGCGGCGCTGGAGGCGCAGGTCGCACTCTACTCTGGCATGGCTTCGTCGACGACCTTTCCGCTCCCTGGCCCGCCGCTGTACGACGAGGTAATCGTGGGCCAGTACCCCAGCGAAGGGCTGCTCGGAGTATTCTGGGCGCACCCCGGGCCTTTCATGGACGATCCGGCGGAGGTGAAAGTGCAAGGGGGCTGCTTCACGAAGTCCATATTGGCGAAGATCAATTACACGCTGCCCGTCTTCGAGTTCGCGAACGTGGAAGCATGGACTCAGCATAATGTCGATTGGCAGAATGCAACGTGGTATCGGGAGATATTGGCGGCAATGGTCGCGCGGAACAATGCTGAGGGCCATAAAGCTTCGGAGGTGATAAGATCGATGGACACGTCAATGTACAATTCTTCCCTTTTCGATGATTGCTTCTCCTAGGTCATTTGAGGGGTAAGCCCTCTCTCTCTCTCAAGCGGGTCCGTTACAGAGCATGAGTCACCGGAGCCGCTTCTTGCGCCAAGAGCGTGCAGGACGTGTGTTGGGCGGACAGGTCTGGCCAGGACAGGATGCAGTACTTTACAGAATCAGCATGGGGCCTATTGGAGGCCATTCGGTGGATTCTTGCGAGCCTGGAAAACATGGATCCGCTTCCTTCTTGCGCATCGGCGGCCCAGGTCGTTTCTTTGTTCTTCCTCTGGTATCCAGGCCCCACCAGTCTGTCAGTACGTCTCTCTGTCTTTGTCTGTCTGTCTGTCTCTTGCCTTTGCTTTTGTTATCTGTCTCTCTCTCTCATATGTTTTGTTCTTTTGTTTCGTCTCTCTCTCTCTCTATATATAGCCCTCTCTCTCTGTCTCTTTTCTTCCTCGTAAATTGTACATATCACACAAATAAATAGATGTGCCTCGCTGGTTCTCTCTCCGTCGCTCACGCGTTCCTCAAATTCGTTTCCTCTTTCTATCTCTTTGTTGCGCTCACGCTCTCTCTCTATTTCTCTGTCTCTTTGTCTATGTTTCTCTCTCTCTCTCTCTTTCTTTTGTTTACCATTTGTGTGTCTCTCTCTCTCTCCCCCCTCTTACACTATTGTTCCTTTTTGTTCCTCGGAAGAGGAGGTGGAGGAGGAGGAGAAGTACGCAGAGGAAGAGGAGTATAACAGTATAACTACAACCAAACATAGGGGATGGCACAAGGAGCAAGAGGAGGAGTGGGTGAAGTGGTTCGGAGTCCGTCACGAGCCATGATAACCCTCGCACCTTATTGCTTTGTGAAGAGTGCCTCGGCCGGTCAATGTTCATCATGTTGTTGCACGTTTCGTTCAAGAGCGTCTACGCCACGGCGCGCACATCAGTTACGATGCAACCACCTCTTTGCGAGAGAGCCAACGTGCTTTCGCGGATGGTGTCGGAACCTGCAGGACCGCGGCATGCAGAGCGCATTTGTGTTGCAAGAGTCGAGCTGGCGCAGCCCACAGCCAGGCGCTCCGGGCCTCGAGCTCCGCTGCGGCTGCGTCAGTCCATCGGAAGTGCATGCGCCGACCACCCCAGGGGAGCCCTGCTCCTCTCCTCGCCATGCCGTGCCCGAGGGACAGCTCTGGCCGGCACTGGCTGCCGTTCCCGGGGCTGCCCCTGGGGGGGCAGCCGGGAGCGGCGCGAGGCGAGGGGGGAGCCCGAGGCGGGGACTCCTCCAAGCAGCGGCAGCTGCGGACGCAGCGGCAGGGCCTCGCCGCCTGCCCTCCGGAGCTCCCCCCTGGCCAGGCCGGCCCCGCCGCCGCGGCCCCCGCCACCGCGGAGGCGGCCGCGCCGGAGCCGCCGAGGCCGCGGGGGGAGTGGGGAGCATCGACTATAGACTTAAGAGTGACCTTTCGCAGGACTGACCTTTGGTGCGGGCACAGCTGGGTCCCTAGATGTCTGAACGCGAAGCGGTAGCAGCGGCTAGCGCGCCTGGATTTGGCTTCCCCGCTGCCCCCCCAAAGCCGCGCACCAAAGGTCACTCTTGCCCAGGGTCAATCTTGCGTGTAGCCGAGGAGCAGGGCGGCACGCAGGAGGAGCGCGGAGAGGGATCGGACGGGGCTGGGGCGAGGATGAAGTCCGGTCCAGAGCGTTGCGGGACGCTCGCGGAGCGTTCTGGGACGCTCTGAGAAGGCCGTGGCGCTGGAGGCATCCTCCAGAGTCGCTGGATCTGATTCCCGCTTTCATCCTCACCCGAACTTATCCTCGTCCTGACTTCGTCTGAAGGGGGGGAGGAAGGAGCAGCCGACGTCGTTGGCGTCGTCGGCGTCGCCGACGTCGCTTTTATCGCAATCGGCTTGTCGACGCCGTGTTCGTCGCCGTGTTTACCAGGCGGCAGGCCGACGTCTGCAGGGGAGCGGGAGGGGGAAGGAAACCCATTCCAGTGTGCGAGCCGCGGTCCTTGAGCGCCAGCCCAAACCTCTTCGGGGAGGAGGCGGGAAGAAGGCGGGGGGAGGAGGGGCAGGAGGCACGAGGAAGGAGAGGGGGAAGGGGAGGAGGACGGACAGTAAGGAAGGGGGGCGAACGAGGAGGAAGGTGAGGGAGGAGCAAGGATTCAGAGGAAGGAGGAGGAGGAGGAGGAGGAGGAGGAGGACAAGAAGAGAAGGATCAGGATGGATGAGTGAGGAGGGAAGAGGGAGGAGGGAGGAGGAGGTGAGGAATGAGGAATAGGATGACGAAGGGGAGGCGGGAGGAGTGAAGGGGAAGAGGCGGAGGGGAGGAGGCCCCCTCGAAAGGCCTTCCAGGGCCCTCCTGGCGACCCGTGGTGGCTATGGCCGCGGAGGGGAGGAGTGGGCAGAGGTTTGCCCAGGATTAGGAGGAGGAGCAGGAGCAGGAGCAGGAGCACGCCAGGGACCGGCCATGTCGAGGCTCGATTGCCCCTGACCGCCAGATTGCTTCCTCTGGGCCCGCGGGGCTCGTGCCGGGCTTGTCAGAGACCTCTGCCCCCCGTTGGTGCATGTGTCTTGCCGTCCCACGGGCCTGCGGCCTCCTAGGCTCTCCTGCGGCCTCCCATGTATATTTTCTTGGGCGTCGAGGAGTGGGGGGGTGGAGGGAGGGAGGAGAGGATAGAGAGGGCGAGGGGTGGGGCAAGGGAAGCAGCGAGACAAGGTGGGGGAGCTGGGGGGGGGATAGCCGCGGCGGTGATGGATGGCGAGGCGGTTGTGACGGCGGGGCGATGGCGATGAGCTGGATGGGTCATTCGGCTCGTTATCGGAGGAGGATGCGGTGGGCGAGGAGTACTTACAAGCTTACACGGGATGGAGGTGGACGTGGTGGAGCGGCACAGGAGGAGTAGGCATGATGGCATGATCATATGGTGAAGCGGGGATGTACAGAGAGAGTCGAGCTGGGAGGGGGGGAGGGAGGGGGGGAAGGAGGGGGCAGCTGAGCGGAGGGGGCAGAGGATGAGCGAGGACCGAGGAGGAGATGCGGGATACAGAAGTCAGCGGGCCACCTGCGAAGCAGAAGCACAGTGGAAATATGAGGAGGTGTCGGGGCAGTGGCAGAGCAGGATGAGGAAGTTTCCGGGCAGGGGCACACGAGCAATGAGAGGAGGTGGCAGGGGAAGGATGTGGAGTGCGGTGCGATACGAGAGTTGAGGGTCGGGGTGGATTTGTGATGGGGAGGAGAGTGAGTCTGCAGGAATGCATGTCGGGAGGGGGTGCTGTTGAAGGAGGAAGGGGCGAAGGGGGGGAGCGGGGGGTAGACGAGGCAGATGAGAGGGAAGAGCGGAGGGAGGGAGAGACGAGAAGAATGAAGATGAGGTGGATTACGAGGATGCGGAGGAGTTGGATCTTGGACGAGAAGATGGAGGCGAGGATGGATGTTTAAAACGTGTGAAGTGGGAGGGGAGGGGGAGGCAGGAGGAGAGGAGGGTTAATGATGATAGAGTTGAGGGAGAAGGAGAAGGACGACCAAGAGGAGGACGTGGAGGAGGAGGAGGATGAGGAAGTGGGCTGCACATTGCCGTCGGTGGGAGGGATGAGGATGGGAGGAGGGAGGACGGAGGAGCTGGGTGGCTGCTCAGGACACATGCCCACAGCAGGGTGGGAGGAGGGAGGAGGAGGAGGAGGAGCAGCACGCGGCCGATGACAGCGAGGACGAGGATGAGGGCGAGGACGCCAAGGAGGACGCCAAGGAGGAAGAGGAGGCGAAGCAGGACCAGTGCAAACCTAAGACTCATGAACGATGTTGCAATAAACCCTCCCTCCAAGCTCCCTCTCCAGAGGCCCCTGCAATAATTCATTTCCACTGAGAGAAGGTCACTGTTTGGAGACAGCCGCCTGAAAATCGTGAAGCGCGCCACGACACCATTCTCGAGACGCCCACGCCGCGAATCAACCTGACTGTTGCGTCTTGATAACCCTGAATCGCGCCAGCACCATTTCTGTGACTTCAACCATCCGAATGAATGTGAGTGTTGCGCTCTGATGTTCCTGAACTGCTTCAACACATCGTTGTTGGTACGTTAGTCATGATACCACGCTTACCTTCTGAAATTCGTTAAATCGAATGTGCGCGGCGCCACGGTGAGAGCCACAGTTTGAACACGATCGGTCGTCAGTCCGTGAAACGCTTGCACAGTTTGAAGACGAGCGTGCCAGGCGCCAAGGTGAGAGCCACATTTCGAAAACGATCTGTTCTCACTCCGTGAAAGTCTTTCAACGTTTGAAGGTTCATAAGTTGACAGGAAGTCTCAGGCAAAACTCCTGGCCCGCCCTTCCGACTCTCTTCGGGGTGCGACAGGGAAGAGTTATTGATAAGAAAAGAAAACGGAGGGCGACGCGATCGCGGACGTCGAGGACGAGGAGGACGTTCGTCCAGCACGATGAGGAAAAAGGTCGACGAGGGCGACGACGGCGACGAAGCTGTCGACGACTGCGCGGGCGCTGTCGACTGCGATTGCGGCTGCGACGACGACGGCGACGGCGACGACGACGGAGAACTGACCCCGACCGCGGCGGCGGCGGTGCCGGGAGCCTCCTCCCCCGCCTGGGGCGCAGGCGGCAGGCCGAGGAGGGCACGGGCGGTGACGACGAGGACGAGCTGGTGGTGCCGCCGGACCGCCAGGGGGTCGCCGCCGTCGGGGTTCATGTACAGTGGGGGCCCATGCCAAGAAACATCCTGCTTTCCTCCAGGGTGCCCTGGGTTTCTCGGGTTTCGATGGTCTTGCCATGGAAAGCATGGCGTTCCCACACCAAAGGTCAACGGACGTCCTCGGGTCTCAGGGTTGGGTTTCTTGTGGAAGGTTTCTTGCGGATCAGCCTCCACTGTACCGGGGTCAGAGCTAGCGGGGGTCAGCCAATCCCCCTCGAGGTCCTCGTGCCGACCCAGGCATGAGGGCCACTGGAGCCGACTTCGCTCCCCCTCCCTCCGTAGACTTGGGTTTGGGAAGGTTGGTGGCCACTTCGTGGCTGGCCTGAGTTCGCGACGCGGCCCTGGCTGACCTGGGTTTGCGCTGACCCTGGTTAATGCGTCCCCGACGCCGCCGCCGCCGTCATCGTTTCTCGCGGGGTCAGGACCTGACCGTCAGAGGGTTCTGGTGCGCTCTGCAACGGCCGCGGCGCGAGTGCGGGGATGTGGTGGCCCCATGTCGTTTCAATTCCCTTCGATGGTGTCCACCGGGCATTTCTGCTTCTGCGCCGTCTGTCCCTAGGAAGATTCCAGTATCATCTCAGATGTGCTCTCGTATGTGCATAGGCAAGATGGCGAAGATCAGTGTAAACCCAAAACGCATCAACGATGTTGCAGTACACCCTCACTCCAAGGTAAATGATGTACCCATTGCGGGAAAGGGCGCCATGGAAAGACAGTTCTCTGATAATGTTGAATCGTGCCAGAACGCAATTCCTGGGACTTCGACGCCGCGTATCGACGTGACTGATGCGTTTCAACAATCATAAACCGTGACAGGACCCTATCCCCTGGGGCTGCGGCGCCGCAGATAAACGTGACATTTGCGTCCTAATCCCCAACCGTGCCATCACACCGTTTGGGGGACTTCAACTCTACTAAACCTTCGACCTGCTGCAAGCTTTGAGACGAATGGCGCCGCGATGAGGCGAGAGCCACGTGTTGGAAACATGCCGCTCCCATTCTAAAACCGTGGCAGACGTTCATCACGAATGCGCGCGGCGCTACGGCGAGAGTCGCATTTCTAACTCCTCCCTCCATCGGTGAAGCTGTTGCGCATCCTAAGCTTCAAGATCACACATGGCGAGGATGTCTCGGGCGAGGCGCCCAGCCCGCCCTGCTGCCACGCCCGGGGGCGCGACAGGGAGGAGCCACCGAGTGTGGTTGAAATCGTAGAGGTGAAATCCGCTGCGCAGCTGGGCGTCCGAGAGACTACCCCGTGCCAGCGCGGACCACTCTCGGGTGCGGGCTCCGTCCTCGGTATGACGTCTCGATCGGTCATGGGATCGATTGCTTTCAGGATCGGCTCTGACCGGCCCTGACGCGGCCTGGGAGACTAGAGCCGCCAGGCTTCTCAGACCTGCACGTCTACCACCCGGCGTGCATCCTTCAGGACGACGACGAGCACGGGGGCGCGAGCACGACGACGAGGTCGGGACAGGCTCCAAGTCAGGAGCCCTCCGTGCACTGGCCCCTACCCTCTGCTCGGCGGGGCCCCTCGACGGATGCCGCCCCTGCGGCGGGAGGGGCCCCGGCAGGAGCCGCCCGGGACGCTGGGCTTCCTCGGCTGCGCGCTCACGGGCCTCCGGCAGGCGGGCGCCCGCCTCCGCGGAGCCCCTCGGTAGAGGGGGGGGGTTATCCCAAGGTAGGGTCAGTTCGGTCGCAAATCACGGGGGCCTTGTGTACGCTCGTAATTCCTTCTCTGGCGTTGACTAGCGTCGATTAGCGTCCGGGAGTCGATGAGATAGCGACGACTTAGCGTCGATGTAGCGTCGACTAGCGTCGATGAGCGTCGATTCAGCGTCGATTAGCGCCGATTCGCAAGAGCCGACAAGGCGGTATGGGAGGCTCCCATGAGTTGCCACCGAAGGTTATCCCAAGGTATTGTTAGGGAACGAGCCTGGCTGGATGCTCACATCTCCATCTTCACAGGAGCCGTTTCATGCGATTCTCCTCCCAACCACACCGTTGCTCCTATGCCCCACCTTTGCGTCCCCCCGAGCCCCGCGCCTGCGCGCGTTGTGCAGGGCGGCGATTCGCCATGAGGGGAGCGGGTCCTTAGGGCGAGGGGTCCTGAGGGTGTTCGCCATTTTTCGGGTTCCCAGGGGCCGCCACGGGCCCCTGGACCATCCTCATCAATCAGCGACTCTGGATGGAAATTCGGTCTTGGGGGAAGTCCTCGGGGTCCAGAATCCGTTTCCCTCAGGACCCGTTTCCTTCATGCTTGGGCGATGGAGGAATCCGAAGAAGAGGAACTTGCAACAGCATCAATTTTCGGAGCTCGCCGCGGGTGTCTTGGATCCGCGATGGAGCCTCTAGGTTGCACCCAAGAGATCCTCGCGGAGCTCCGAAGTGGACCGTTGTGCAGTTTTCGCTTCCTCAAAGGATGCCCGATTGTCGGGTCGGGCCAAAGGCGAGCAGCGCAAGTAATACATAGCACCCCGCAGATGCGGATAAGAGTGAGGGGGCGGTGGGGACGTCGGCAGTCTGCGAGACTCTGGAGAAGCCCGCCGCAGTCGCAAACATTTCACAAACTATAAAACGAGCCCGCCGCAGGCGCCGATTTTTTCGTTAAGCCAACGTGGATAGGTCGCGGGTGGGTCGCAAATGGGTCGCAAATGGGTCGCGGCTGGGTCGCAGGTGGGTCGCGGATGGGTCGCGGGTTGGGTCGCGGGTGGGTCGCGGGTGGGTCGCAGGTGGGTCGCGGCGTGGGTCGCGGCGTGGGTCGCGGGTGGGTCGAGGGTTGGGTCGCGGGTGGGTCGTGGAGTGGGTCGCGGAGTGGGTCGCGGGATGGGTCGAGGGTTGGGTCGCGGGTGGGTCGCGGGTGGGACGACGACAACAAACAACAACAACAACAACAACAACAACAACAACAACAACAACAACAACAACAACAATTACTAGCACGTGGGGACACTCCGTTCTCACCAGTGCCAGGGTTTTCATAGGAGGCGGGCAATACCCCCACTTTGTGGGGGGGCCGGTTCAAGCTCTACCAAATTTCCAAACGACTCTTCGCCACCACCCACACCCAGCTTCCCGCCCTATGACGTTCGGACACTTCACTTCGTGGCATGCGGACGACCGTGGCTACTATTCAGGGCCCCGCGGCCGACGACGACGGCGTGCGCGCGCGAAGAAAAAACGAATGTGTCCCGCATGGTATTATTTGACAGGGATGATGGCCCTGGCAGGTGCGCAACCGTTGTTGCAGAAGTTCGAAAAGGTTGCTAGCATAAGCCCGTTTGACAGAAATGTTTAAAAAAGTGTTGGATTTCCTACGAATCCGCAAGAGCGCGCGGGATGAAAGTTTGACAATTTTTTTTTTTGAAAAACCATTGGTTTCTTGATGTTTTTATGTTAAACGCGTTACGAAAACTAAGGTTTTGGAAGGATTTCGTCTTGCGCGCGCGAATGTCCACTTTACCTTATTTTTTGCAAGGGATTCTTGAAGTTTGGATATGTTAGAACAAGAAATTTCATTTTATAGTGTTTTTTGCAAAGGAAAGCGGGCGTCAACAAAACAACCGGATCTGGATGACATCGTTTTACCTGAGACTTCCTCACGAAAATGATGAAAATGTGGCTGCGGCCTAGGCGCGGCGAGGGGGGCGTGCACCAGGGGGCCCAACAATAATTATTCTTTAGAAGTAATAATATTCAACAACAACAACACCAACAACAACGACAACAACAACAACTGTAATAACAATAACCACAACAACAAAACACAAAACCACAAACAACAAACACAACAACTCCATCAGAAAAAGCATTCATTCTAAGATTGTTCGCTCTTACTTGCCCGTGTGCCATTCAAAACGAGTTCCCAATACCCTCGATACCCGCCCTTTGTCTTTGATCACGCCCCCTTTGGGGGGATTCGTTCTCTTCCCTGGGGGCGGCGGGCTTAGACAGGCGGGCAAAACTGAACGGGCGGACAGTCCTTCGTGGGCGTACATGTGCCCGTCATTGGAAGTGTTGTGGGCCCTGCAAAAAGAGGAGGGGGAGAACGAAGGAGAGTGGGAGGAGGGGAGGGGGAGGGACGAAGAAAGAGGGAGCACGCCGGGAGAGAAGGAGCGACGAGGGGGGCGGTTGATTAGAGCCAGAGAGAGAGAGAGAGAGAGAGAGAGAGAGAGACAGAAAAACCACATATACGACAGGTAGAGAAGCAGAGAGAGAGAGAGAGAGAGAGAGAGACACAGGGGGGGAGAAAGATATAGAGGCATAGAGAAAGAGGGAGGGAGGAGTCAGGAGAGGGGAGGGAGAAGGGAAGAGGGAGAGGAGGGAGAAGGGCTTGGGCAGAGAGGCGTAATGATGAGGGAAGGAAGAGAGGAGGGAGAGAGAAGGGAGGACAGGAGGGAGGAGGGAGGAGGAGCAGGAAGGTAAGAGCGTGAACGTTCGAGGAAAACCTAGGCGACAGCGCCGTTCCTGAAGGAAGTCTCGGGCGGGAACCCACGACGGGCGTGCGATACCCTGACGGGCGGGCCGGGCGGCTCGGACATTCAAGCGGGATGCTTGAGTATAGCGAGAGCGCGGTTCCCAAGTAAATTGTGACGGCGTCCTTCGCGCAGCGTGTTTCCTGAGCGCCGAAAGCGCGATTGTTGAATAAATTGTATGGAAATCATCGGTGAGAGCGCATTTTTTGAATAACATGCGAAGGGCTCTCTGGCAGGAGCGGGGGGTCTTGATGAAATCGCGAGGATTTCTTGATTCAATTGCTAGGAAGTCTCAAGCGGGAACGCCGTTCCTGAGTAAATTGCAAGGAGGTCTCAGATAGGAGCGGGGTCCTGAGTAAATTGCGATGAAGTCACAGGCGGGGACACCGATCCTGAGTAAATTGTGAGGAAGTCTCACGCTTTAGCGGGGGTCCTGAGTTAATTTGGAGGAAGTCTGAGGCGGGAGCCGTTTTTTTTGTAATCCGTGGGGCCAGGGGCACAATTTGAGCTTCAGGATTTCCCCTGTCAAAAAGCAGGGTGCGAGCGTCGAGGGCCACACTTTGATTGAGAAGCCACAGCATGCACTGCACCGGTGAGGGAGGTCAACAATGGTTATTTTTCAGAAGCGATACTTCAACAACAACAGCAACTATAACAACCACATGTGACAAACATAACAACAACAACACGAACAATAACAACAACAACAACAACATCAACAACAGCCACAACAAAACGAACAACAACCCAACAACGCAACAACGCATCAAGCATAATCCTCACCACAGATACTCCTTCACGGACAATGAATGACCGTTCGGTCCTCTCACATTGATGTTCGTACGGCTTTCGCCCCCATGCCGCCGGCCCCCCTCTCTTAGAGTGGGCCTTGCCAGAGCTGTGTTGGGATGGCTGGACGCTGACGTGAAGCAGTGCCCGGGTTTCACACGAGGGCTAATAGTTGTTTACGACGATAGATGGTGTCGGTGGTGCGAGCATTAAAACATGTTCGAAGGGTTATGGATTCGGGGGTGCGAGCATTTCATAATTTACAACGGTTGTTGGCCTCGGGGGCGCAACCGTCGTGTAATGCACGATGGTTTATAGCTCTGGGATCGCGAATCTGGTTTAAATTTTAGATGGCTTATGGTTTCGGGGGCGCGAGCATCTGTGTAAGTTACAAGGGTGTATGGCTCCGGGGACGCGAATATTGGTAGTTTACAAGGGTTTGTGGCTTCGGGGACTCAACTATCGCATAACTTACGAGGGATTATGGTTTCGGGGACGCGAGTATTGTGTAATTCGCGATGGTTCGGGGGCGCGAACATTGTGTAATCTACTAGGCATTTTTGCTTCGGGGACGCGCGTATCAAGTATTTTCACGTATCCCACGCCTCCCCACGAATTCAGAGAATTCTTTCAGGGCGTGGTAAAACAAACAAGTTGTTTGGGGTTCCCACCCCTCGCGCGGACTGCAACAATCAACAGTAAGGAAACAGATAGCAGGACTGAAACAGTGGAAACTGGAAGCTGCAACTGGAACAGGGAACTGCAATCCTCACCCTCGCAGCCTGGTGGCCCCGCAAGGGGACCGGCGGATATGTTATGGTGCCCTACTGTTCGCTGTGATGGACATGTCGCCAGGACGGCGCCGCCGAAAAGTTCTTTTTCGGGGATGGGGGGGTCGACGGCACGCCCTGGCCGCAGCTCGACAGAGATCGGGCGCGCGCGGGCCCGGGGAGGTGCTCAGCGGATCTGGGTCGGGTTGGTAGCCTCTGAATTCGGCTACGGGTATCGGGTCAGACCGAAGGGGGGGAAGGGAAAGGGGGGTCACCGAAACGGGCTGCATGCAGCTGGTTTCGGCTCCGCCTGCTGGACGCATTCCTCTATACATTGGCGCCAGGAGGCGCCGGGAATATCAGCTACGTCGAAGGCCCGCAGGAGACGCCCGAGTCGTCCCGAACGGCGCCAAACCCGACACGTCGGCCGTCCTGAAGAACGTTTGGGTTTGGAGGACTTCTTGGCTCCTCCTTCCTCCAGCCCCATCCCCCCGTTGGTCAGCCGTCTTGGAGCCCTTGGGGCTTGTGGGCTCCCCCTTCCCCCAGCCCCCTTCCACCCCCCCCTTCTGAGATGCAGAGTTGGGGAGAGGGAGGGACGGGGGCATAGGGCGGGGGTGGCCTCTCCGCGAGCAGCGGCGGCGGCGGCAGCAGCAGCAGCGGCCGGTGCATGTCACAACCCTGTGGGTCTCGCTAGGACTTTCCGCGGGCGCCTTCAGAACCCAAACGTCCCGACGACATGAGTTGTCCAGAGCGCAGCCCCAGAGGTCCCGACCCCTCCTCAGGGGCAAGTCTCCAACCTTGGATCCGCTTCTGATGGCCCAACGGCCCGACGACGGGCCCAGAGACCGAAATCGACGACAAAATCGCCCGGGCTGAAGAACCTAACGTCGACGGACGAATCAACAACAAATCGAGGATCGCTGCAGACTACAAAAATCGAGGCTGACGACAAATCGACGACGACTCGACGATGGTCGGAGATCTGGGCCCGCGTGCGCTGTCAGAACGCCGAGCGGCCACCCTGCTGTCGCCCACGGGGAGCGCGCCGGGGCGAAAGGCAGCCAGGCGCAGCGATCGGGGGGAGGACTGGGACAGGCTCAGGAAAGGGATGCATCGACCCCCATTCGCCCACTGATCGCCGATGGGGGCCCGATTGCCCCACCCCGCCCAGGAGCGTGCGGAATCGCTCTCGGTGGCCCACCGCCGACCCATCCGCGAGTCGTCGCCGATTCCAGGTCGGTGGCTGCCTCTCCTGCGCTGGACCCGCTCCCCGATCGTTGCCCCTCCGGCAGCCTGGCACGGAGCGCCACATGCCCCGCTGCCTCCCGGGCGCGCCCGCGCGCGGGCCCAGGCCGTGATGGGCGTGGCCTCCGAGGACCCGCGGTCGCCGTCGGGCCGCTCCCGGCGCCCGTCGCCATGATAATCAGCGGGCACTGATGCACGTGGACGTCTTCATCGGTCCCATGGAGGCTCTGCGGCCTCGAGATGGCTTCACCAGCTGTGCCTCGTCGGGGGCGTTCCGGGGGTGCCCGAGTTGTCCCGAGCGGCCGCTGGAGGCCCGAGGTGTATGGCCGAACAGCCAACCAGGATCGAGCCTGAAGTGACTGGCGCCCCGGGGCCCTCAACGGGTCCCTGGGATTTGTCAGACAAAAACCCAGGACGGAAACCAGGTCCTGGGGGAAAGCCCTGGGGTCCAGGATCCGTCTCTCCCGTAGGGCCCGACCGTTTCATGCCAAGTTTCCTTCCTCCCTTCCTTTCCTCATTATCCTCCTCCTCCTCCTCCTCTCCTCCTCGTCTTCCTCCTCCTCCTCCTCCTCCTCCTCCTCTCCTCCTCCTCCTTTTCCTCCTCCTCCTCTCCCTCCTCCCTCCTCCTGTCTGCTCCTCCCATGTAATAGTACTATGGGGTGTAAGTTGCAGGTCATACCTAGTCGCGAGCCTCGAAACCATATACCCGTGCTTGTTACGGAGGTTCAGCGTTGGGGACGGGGGCAACAGCAACAACCAGTGCAGGCCCCCGACGGCCTTGACAGGGAAAACGCTAAGTGGGATAGGGTTACGCTTATGCAGGGAGTCCGTGGCGGGCCCGTTCGTGAAGCTTTTTTTTCGGGAGGTGGAAGCTGCTCTCGAAAAAGTTTGATATATTATGCTACAGCAACCGCGTGATAATCCTAGGCCAGATGTGCTCGTGGAGAAAGTAGATTATATACTCCGCAGTCTGGGCGCCAAGCATTTACCGCAGGGTTCGCAAAAGACGGGCATCAAAGCTACCTTGTGGCAACAACGACTCGAGTTGCTCACCTTACGTCGGCAGCTTGGAGGGCAGCTCCCAACTCTCAATGATGATGAATACCCCGTGTGTTGTGGGAAACTTCGGGACGTCACCCGTCGAAGCAAGGCTCTGTATCGCCGTCGTCGTCACGATCGTAATGAAAGAATCGTCACTGAGATCTGGAACGCATGGCGGACTCGTGATCAGTCACTCGTGCACCGGATCTCGCTACGCCTCGCGGTTGGGCGTTTTGGTTCTGCCAAGAGCTATGTAATCCCGATGGCGCCTTGCCAACAGCTGATCAGTGGATGGAGGTATGGGGACAAGAAGGATGGATGGGAGGGATTCAGGCAACACGTGCTACGTGGTCAGACTTTTGTGAGCATCGGGATGCGTTGGCCAACGTTCCAGGGCTAGTGGACGACGTTCGAGCGTCCTCAGCTTGTTTTCTTGCTGCGCTCGTTCTGGAGTTGGTCCAGAAATACTTATCGAGGGCTCCCCAGTGTTGTGGGGGCCCCCTCATGGGCGCTTCCTCGGGAACTATGGTATAGATGTAGAGGTTCTCGTGCTGCTCATGCTGCCTCTACTGCACGTGCTGGTCTTGGGACCGACAATAGCAGCAATACGTATGGCTACTATTCTAAGCTATTGCTCCACAGGGTCTTCGCTAGCATGCGATACTGGGGCGTGGTACCTAAACTGTGGAGTATGTTTCAAGAGTTTGCTTCGCCTAAGGCTGCGATTGCTGGACCCCGGGGGGGGGCGGGTAGTGCGCGGGCTAGACCCGCTTGGTAAAAGGGTTCTACGCGGGGATCCTCAAGGCCGGGCCCAAGATTGAATTCTGAATGTGACCATGGTTTTCTCCGACATCGTCGTCGGGAGGACGCAGTAGCAGCTTGCGTGGTCACGGGCTGGAGGCTCGCGCAGGCAGGTCTCCATTGGTCGACTCTATGAAAGATCAATCGAACTCGCTTGCTTCCCCCAAGTGGGATTCCCTGGATGAAGCGCGTAGGATGATGACCCAACAGCAGGATCGGAACTTATGTCGACAGACGCGTCGCACTCCTTGCTGCATGCTTCCGTCGTCGGACGGCCCAGTTACGATCGAGCCTTGATGTGGAGCATTGCAGGGCGACCCGTTCGCAGCGGCCAGCTGCGTCCGAATATTCGTGGGCCCAGTCGACCGATGGCTTCACCGACGCCAGGTAGACAACCCCAGCGAGAAGCTGCTTCCGTCCGCGTTGCCCGCCGAGCTCGGCCTCGGCAGCGAACCTGCGTGCCTTGGCCTGCAGAAGATCGGCGGTGATCTTCCCAAAAAAGCTAGCCACTGGACCTCCTTGCAGTGCTCAGTATTTCTGTCGGCCCCTTGATCTCCATGATCGCATTTTGGGCGGGGAGCCTAGCACCATCGGCCCTAGGAGGAACCGGCAGGAGCAAGAAGCGATCATCTCGGTGCCCCCCAGCTGTCGGCGGGGTGCTGCCGCGATCCTGAGAGACCGCGAAACACGCGTGAAGTATGCTGTTCGTTACTTGGGACCGTGTATTACTCCTACGCAGGCGTTCAGCACGGAACTTGCTAGACATACTGTTGCTATGAAGTCGCATTTCTATCGATAGGGTAAGTTTTGGTTCCAGAAAGGCGCCCCAGCCAGGTGGGGGAGGGTCGTTTTGTTATGCGGCACCGGCAACGCGGCGCTCTCAGGGGCGAAGACGTTCATCACTGGCCCCAAAAACGTCATGGAATTGCAGCACCCCGTAGCCGCACTTGCCACGAGGGCAATGGGAGGGGAAGCTAGCTGGTCCTTGGATGTTCTTCCTGTAGATATTGAGCTTCGGGTCCGACGACTTCGCTGGTTTCGGGCTTGCGTTTGTCGCCCCGCTGCGCGAGCACAGTGCCTGGCGTGACTCTTGGGCATTATGTCTGTTGGGATGGGGGTCTTTAGTGAGGAGGGCGCAGCGCGCGCCCAGACCAACCCGCGGGCTGTTCGCCCAGTGGATTTCTGATGCTGCTGAATGCTGGGACCGCGCCGGTGCATCGCTCATTCGCCCCTTCGAGCTCGATGCCGCTGCGGATTTCGTTAATGTTGGCGTGGCCATACTCCGCAGTGCTTTGTCAGACCTCCGAGCCCCCCCCCCCCCCCCCTCGGGCACCCGAGTCGACTTCGAGGCTCTTGAGGCCGAGGCGTTACGTGCTGAGAATATGCATGTGCGTCCTTGGCCGCCACGTTCGTTCCGACTCGCATGTCATTCTGGACCTGATCAATCATATTCGTCGCGCCCATGGCACGGTGAAGTTGTCGCAAGCAGCCGCCGAGCGCAATCAGCGCATAGCGTGTCGCGAAATGTTCTGGGACAGGAAGACGGCGCAGAAACAGCCCCATGGGCCGATTCTGCATGGTCGACGCTTACGAGGCAAAGCAACTACGCTACGTGCTCTGGCCCCCCCGGACGATTTGTCGCGCCGTGTCTGTTCCTCGAGTTTCTTGGCTTTGGACGAGTACTTCGTCCACGCGTGCACGCGTCTCCCAGAGATCCCTGCGGTTCGGCATGGACGTGGCCATGGTCTTCGAGCCCCCCCCCCAGACGCCCCTGCGCGGCTCTTCCCACTGCGCAAGCGCCAGCGCGCGCAGGGCGCAGACGGCCCACCTGCCCAGGCAGCCCGCGCCGGCGCCGCTGGGGCGGGAGGAAAGGGGGGGGGCGGTCGTCAAGGCGAGGACCACGGGGGCGGCTCGACAATGAAGTGGGCGGTCCGCCAGACGCTAGCAAACGCGAGGGCATCGCCGAGATAGAGTCAAACATGAACGACGCGTTCCTGATTTCAGAGCAGTCTTGGCTGGCCCAGGCAGGGATCAGAGGCAGCAAGTGCTACGCCGAGTGCGTGGGGCAGCTGAAGGAGGAGCACGCCAGCGACACGACGACGGACCTCGGGCCCCTCGGGCCGCCCTGGCTGACGGCGTTCTGGATGGCGACGGCAGAGGACAATATGCAGCCCCAGAGCGGCCAGTGCAAAAGGACGCGGTCAATAGTTTCTGGGACGCCTATATTAAGGACAAACTTCCAGCCGAGATTGCGTCGATGATTCGGCACATCTCGTTCCAGGTGCTTCGGGGAGACAAGAGCAAGCGCGTGGAGGGAATGGGGATGTTCAAGCTGAACGCGGTGTTGGGCGCAATTGCGGGGGCGGGCCCCCAGGAGTTGATGCGTCGCAGGCTCGCCGAGCTCAGCGCCCAGCGTCTCGCAGGCGCGGCGCCCCGCAGTCAGGCAGAGAGGCGCCTCCGGCAGTGGATCCAGACGCGTTGGGGCCTGGAGATATTGCGATCGTTGATTGGCATGGGGGGATCATGGACTCTGCGGGTCAGCGCGCCAGGGATGACAGTTTGAATGCGGGTGCATTGCCGTATGTGTCTCCTCCTGGACAGAGCTCGAATGCACATCGGCGGGGCCTGCGAGTGCCCGCGTAGCTTCTGATGGGGTCGGCGCGCCGCCTGGCCAAGTACGAGTTGCACATGATTCTGAACCAATGGAGTCTATATCTGACATGGGCGTCTCTCGAAAGGTGGGATCCGAATGATCGCGTCTGGGGGCCGATGACAGGACGGCCCCCCCAGCTGAGCAGACTGGGCCCCGGCCTTTCACTACCCTGCCCCCTTCTCCCCTTTTGAACCCCCTTCGCACTCCCGCCCCTCTTTGCTGCTCCCTCGCAACTTGGCTTCTAGTGCTCGCCTCGCCTCCCTCGTGGCTCGCGGCCTGGTCCGCGATGCGGGGGCCGCTGTGGGAGATGCGTTCGCGGGGAGTGGGGGTGGGGCGGCGGTGGGCGGGGGGGGGGGAGAGGAAGCTCGGCTCGTTGCGGCGGGCGAGGACCGTGCCATTGGGCGCGTCACACCCGCTCAGGAGGCGCCTCCTGGGCCCCCCCCGTCGCGGGGCTTGCCTCGGGGCCCGATGGGGGGCGTTCACTCCTGCAGGGCTCTCAGGGCTCATATATTTGGATGATTTTCGGCCAATTGGCCGTCGCAGGGATGAGCGTTTGCTTCCAAATAGTTTGCCATTGCAGGCGATCGGTCGTGGAGCTTGAGATCGCCGCTAGCGCTCCCGATCCCGATCCCGAT